GGGAAAGAATACAAACCAAAAGGGATTTTGAAATAAAACAGCCTTGAGCAAAACAGTATAAGGGACTTGTTGACTCTTTCAGTATGCATCTAGAACACTTAGGTCTAAGTTGCTGGCTACAATTCAGATAAATTACTCACAGCAGCATCCACAGGATTCTGGAGATACATAGCTTGATTCCGTGACCAGAAGATGTCTCTCTGACCCCCAAGATGGAAGGGACCCTATTTAAAACCTTTCTGATCTCACCACCTGGACCCAACCAACATCAGGTATTTTCTGAGCATCACTGATGCTGACCAGTGAGTTTGAGTAAGGTCAGACCTCACCTTGAGGAAGGACCACTGCCTTAGAGCTGCTATCCCAGGTCAAAGGTGGGAAGCTTAACAATAGCCTGGCCATAGGGAGAGGAAATCCTCCCCTCCCTAGGGGACCCCCTAGGCAACCAGGTGGTTGCCTAGCAACTGGGCTGATAGGCACATGGGTAGAAAGAGAGAGAGAGAAGGGGAAAACAAACAATCCAAAAAGATGCAGCTGGGATGAAGCCTTTTTTCACACATGCTAATTAGCACATGTCAGAGCAGACCTGGTTAATCGAGTCTGTTGGATCATGCTAATTAGCATGCTCCAGCAGCCTTGGCATCTCCTATATTCAGCATCCCCAAACTTCAAAATGGTAAAAAATGAGCTTTAGTTAAAACACTCCCACCACCATTTTGAAGCACAGAATGCTGAATGCACAAGACACTGTGGGTGCTTAAATCAGAGTGGCTCCCGAGAGCCACCCTAACTATAGCACCCCTCCCTCCCCCACACCCCAGAGCACATGTAAAGACACCCTTGATATCCAAAAAGCTTGTCCAACAGCTCTTCTAATTATGCACTGGTACAATAAAAGATACCACAAAAAATCCTTTCCTCTCATACGCGTCCTGGACCAGCACAGCCACAACAACACTGTAAACCTACTACATTTGTTTCTAATAATGTTCAACTCGGTATTACCGGGAGCATTAAATAAAACTGTTAAAAAACAGGATAAATTAAAAGCACAAGAAAAGATAGATCTTACAATGCTTTAATCATTTCTTCTTGCATCTTCTGTAGTGAATCAAGTAGCCGGGGGAGAGTAGTGTCATAATATTGGTGCTGATATAACTGTGCTCCTTTCAGTGCCAGTACATATTGATTATGCAATGTGTGTAGTTTCATGTTGGCTTTATCATAACGGTCTTTGGCTTTATCAGTCTCCTTTCCTAAGGAAAAGAAAAAGGGAATGAGTTTAAAGGGATTAACAAGATTCTTGTGCTTGAATGATACCAGAAATGTGTACTACTTCTATATCAAGTTCACCTCTTTTTCGACCTCTAATGTCTTTTTCAACAATTTGCCATAGATAATCTGAGAATACACAGGTCTTATATATTGGACCAAATTTTGCAGTCATTACTCAAGACTAAACTCTGGTAACAACTCCCAATGTGTTCAGCAAGGTTTGTAATGAATATACCTTTAAGAAGAACTACATTACACATATTTACAAAAAGTGTGTGAAAGCTTAGCACCTGCTGTCTTCTCACTGGTGAGAAGAAAGCATACTAATCAGAAGTTATATCACAAACATTGACAAAGATGCCTCCCAAAATACACATACAGTATTTTTGTCTGCTTCTGTTTCGTACTATAATATAAATTACTAAACATTTCTCAAAATACATTTACTCCATGGAATTTTGATACTGCAGAATGACCCACTCCTTTATGCTATGAAGTCCAACTGAAGATTATGGAACTGGAAATTCAGATTCACAACCCTGAACAATTTACTGAAATGTCCCTTTAAGGCCCACTTTTTGTAGACTTCTAATATGCAATTTTTTAATGGTTAACTAGGTTAGGCTATATCCTGTACCTTATTAAGTACCTTATTTATTTATATCCTATTCCAGTACCTTACTCATCTTTTAGACTCTGATCATGCTTTAGGCAGGCAGAAAAGTCCACCTGTACAAAGCTGACTGCAAAATCAGAGTCTCGGGCTGTAACCTTCTCAGCCTAGCCACCATTTGACATATGCGACTGTTTCATTATTTTCAACATCTTGTACCAATGAAACCATACTGTCAGCATTCAGATTAAAAAAAAAAAAAAATCTTTCCTTGTTCACTGGACCTTAACCACTAAAGCCACTGAACAGAAAGTATAAAAATGATACAGCAGAAAAGTTTGGATTTCTATTACTGCAAAGTAACAATCGGCTCATTTTTCTGAAAACTATTTTATTAGTTAAAGCTTAATGGTCATTGTTAGTATAATACATGTAAAAACAAAACAAGTTATCTTATGAATGAATAAAACTTGTAGGCGAACGCTGTCTCCAACATGTTTCAAGAAAAAATTTAAACTTTGGAACCATGTACCTGAGCTCCAAAATGATAGCAAGAGACAGCATGATCTACAGAGCTCAACATTCATACAAGCACTTTCAACATCATTTTGTGTAGTATTCTGTGGGTGAATATTTTTAAGTCCAGGGATTAAATTTGCAGGTTCAGCATTCGTGGTTTTAAATATGCGCGAATGCCAAACCTGCATCTTAAATACACTTAAAGGAGCTCCTTGGGAGCTCCACGCTTGCCGCTGCCGCACTCCTGCTGCCACCAAAGCAGCCGTGCCACCCACCCTCCTGGCCGCCGGCAGCACTGCATTCATGAACGCAGAGCCTTACTCGCAGATTTCGCTATTCGCGGGGGATACGAGAATATATCTCCCGCGAATGGCGAGGGTCTCCTATACTACCATTTCTGCATGCCAAATTTAGATGCACAAATAGATACATGCATTAATCAATCAGCATGTCTAATCTGAGTACCTGCTTTTCTAAAAATCTAGTCCTGTAAATTCAAGTAGTAAATGTCCTGTACTTTTACACAAAAAGAAAAACTACAAAAAGAAAAACTACAAAAAGTACACAAAAAGAAAAACTAGCAGAGCAAATGTTTTTGAAAGATTTTCAGGGAATATCTTCGTATTTTTGTGCACCAAACAAAAACATACCCATCTCAAGAGCTTCATTAATCAAAACTTCTCATCTTATACACCTACACTAGTAAATCCACCTTTAAGTCAAGATCCACTGACATACTAAACCCCAAAAGATTTAATTTTTCCTGCTACACTGGGTCAATTCCTACTTTGCTGAATCAACATTCTTTACTGAAGATCTCTACAGGACTTTTCTCAGGGGCACAATCCTTTGATGTTATGTTTGCTTGAAGCAACAACAGTTCTACTTCACCCAGAGAATGACTGTATTCTATTACCAGAAACATAAAACCAATATGCTTTTCAGTTTGATATTCAATGTGCATTTCTTAGAAAAGTGTAGAGTGAATTTTGCAGATCCTACAAATTAGAACCAACTTAAATTTCTTCCAAAACATTGCACACACAGAACTACTGCAATCAATATTTTCATTTATATTTTAATTAATAATTTTCATTTGGATAAAGAAAAAAAAGTCAGCTTAAATTAAATCATCATTTTGCAAATTAATCTTGACTGCTCTATATTAAAAAGGTCTCTTCACTGACCCCACAAGAAAGCTAAAATAAATATTTATTTTAACAGTATACAACACCACTTTCTAATTACCTATGAAAGCGAACAAGAAATAAAACTTTAAAATAACTTAATTTCTAAAGCTGATGGCCAGCAATTAAAATGAGGCACAAAGAAAAACAATTAAAAGGAAAATATTCATTAGACAGCAAACATAATGTGACCCTGATTAATATGGCATTTGGAGACTATTAGAATCTAAAAGTTGACATCTTACCTGCAAAGATAGTTAAGCGCACACAATTTACCTATCCGCCAAAATAAAAATCTAAGGCTGCAGGATACAGTATGGTATATGCACGTTTAAGCGAGCTCAAGTGCTGGAGGCAAGAAACTAGCTCATTGTGGTTGAAGTGGCCTGCACTCAGCTATGGGCTATCATGGCAAGTAGCCAAGCTAGCCCATTCGAATTTTAGCTAGTTCTATCATTGTACTGCGAAAAGCAGTGCACACATACCTTAACTAAATTTTCCAGTCCTCTTTGAACGCATATATGACTTCTTTGCTTACCACCCATCTTTTGGGTCCTACAAAATATTCTCTCTCTTTACACATAATTGTTCTCATGTCCTTCTACTTCTCACCTTCCTACACTGCTCTGAAAGCTCTAAAACAAAAGAAAAAAACAACATTATTTATCTCCCTTTTCCCACCATGTCTTGTATATTCAGTTAAACTGCCCTTTACTTTGGAAAAAAGCTGCAATCTCTTAACCCTCCTACCTTGCTCTTTTCCCTATTTTTTCCCAAATATAACAATTTGAAATATTCTTTATATTGCCGTTTCAGGTTTTATTACATAATGTTTTGACACTATCTGTAAAGCACTGTATGCATTTATATTAAATAATAACTACAGTACCCCACTAAATTCTTTTACAGGAAGAAGACAGAGAACAGCAGCAGTCAGTATGCTTTCTAAGTTATGCTTACGGAAAAAGTGCTTCACCTGTGTATGTATACATCTCCATAGGCAGATCCAGGTGGGGAGGCAGTGTGCAGAAGCAGCAACCAGTGCTGCATGTGGTATGCCCCACCCCCAGCTTCACCCACCCCAGCCACTGGGGCAGGCTGACCACCCCAGAGGAGCAGCAGTTGGGGACTTTAAGTCGTTTTATCAGATAAGGATTCCCACCACTCTGCTTTGGGCACCCCTTCCCTTCCACTCTGCTCAGTGGCATGACTCTCTCCTCCCATCTCATTCCCTACCTTGCCCTCTCTATTTACTCCTTTGAGCACAGGGAGACCCACTGGCCACCACCGTTGTCTCAGCTTCTCCTGGCCCACAACAGCTGAGGCTGTAGAGAGCAGAAAGGATCCCAGTTTACCTGAAGGCCATAGCAACATGGGTTGGGTTCCTCCTCCCTGCCTACTCCCAGGCTGGCAGGGAACACCCAGGAGAACTGGGCAGGTGAGGAGGAATCCATTTGTCACTGCTGCTGACCCTGTCAGCTGAACCCGCAGACTGGCTGGACTGGGCAGAAGTAGCTCTGGCTACCGCCCACCTTCAGGTCAGCAATAGCAGTGGGCAGGAGAGGAGGGGAATGGGAGGAAAAAGGAGGGAAAATGCCTCTGAGCAAGGAGGAAAAAGCAGGAGGTCCTAAGTGAAATGGATTCTTACCTGCTCCGCAGACTTGAAATCATCCCTAGCTCCCACAGAGCGGTCCAAAAAGGCACATGCAACTGCACCACTGCACTCCCACTGGACTCACCCTTGTTCATATGTATGTACCATGATGAACAAATTAACAGTTAAACTAAGCTCAACATATTCATGTTGACTACAAATCACAACTGAAGTGCTGCTATGATTGCTAGTATTGCACCACCCTTTAAAATGGAACAAACAAAAAAATATTTATCGACTTCCAAGATACCCAAGATGCTTTCCACCCCTACCCCCAATTATTTCTTAAATGGAACACCACAAATCATTTAAGAATGAGCTGCACCATTATTATTCACTCTCAACTTTTAAATAACAGCTTTTGTACTTATAATTAAGAAAGAACACATCTAATAGTATTCTATCTGTATTGCAATTGGCTTCTTTTTTTAGCAATAGAATGCAGTGAAGCAGGGTACACAGTTGTTTTACTTGTCAATTAACAGGGAGGAAAACATCCAATTTCTCTTTATCTGTATAATGAATTTCATAAGCAGCTCTAATTATAATTCTATTGCCATCAGTTGTTGACAAATCTGTTTAATGTTTATAGTGATAGACTGTGCATACAATATGTCATGCCATAAACACTATTATGAAGCTGGCAAAATTCAATTATCTAAGTTTGACATTTGCAAGAAAAGCTAGAATGCTTGCTAAGCTATTCTAGGAAGTCAGAGTATTCTATTTTTAAAATAAACTTTTGCCTATGGACATTTTTACTCCATGCAGCATATAGTTGTCTACTAATACTTTTTAAGTATTTCTTTAAAAACAATAAAACTCAAGTGGTTCAGTTTTACTCTTCAGTCTTTCTACCTGTATAGTTTGAACCCATAATTTCCCCTGGAATGAATTGTAGAAACTCAATTAGTACACTTTGCAGCCATGAATAATTTAAGTTCAAAGTATGAGTTGAATGTCTTACATCATCACTAAACTGCAGAGTAAATAGCTCTAAGAAACTGT